CGTGACCCACCTTCTCCAAGAGCTCCGCGAGAAACGCCTCGACCTAGACGGCATCGCTGAGACCCTCCACACCAAACAGGGCACCGACATTCCCAGCAAAACAACACAGGCCCGAGCCTTCCACGCCCCCTCATCAAACTACTTATCCAACGACTCCAAACTCACTCTCCGGCACCAGCGGAGGGCACCGCTCTACGCGCCCTTAAGAACACCACCGACGAGCTGGCCCAAGCACGCCAGAAGCTCCACGACTTGGGCGACCCACTCACTCCAGTGAAGAGCACCAGCCGACCCTCAGCACCGGCCACCCCATCACATGAGCCCACCCCACCACCACGCCAGCCCTTTCCGATGTCCTGCAACCCCCACACCCAACATTGCAGGATGATATCCCCGACGGTTGGAATCACCCCGATATCCAACACTGGGTCACCACCTTCGACCCCACCATCCAGGGAGGTCGTGCGCTTGCTGCAAACGAGTAAAGTCACTACCCAGCAGCTCAAGGACGCAGCCACACGTTACGGCCTGCCGCTCAACCGGGTCAATCGTTTGCCAATCCGGAGCTTGCTACAGCTTGTGAGTGTGGGGGCAGCCATCGGCTGCTGACTCGCTACCCTCGCCCAGCAGCAACCCAGCCACACCAACCTCAACCACCTGTTCCACTTACGCCGAGCACTCTCCGTGCTGATCCACCACACCCAATACATCGACCGCGCCGAAGCTATCTTTGCCACTGGCCTTATCCACATCACACTCCTGTTCGCATATCCTTCCAACACCCGTCGCTCACAACAATGGCGCAACCGACTCCGCCAGCTCCACATCCTGCCCCACACATACCACTACCACAACTTCCTCTCCTCCAATTCAGTTTACATCAAGCTACACTTCAACCCTGACCAACCTCAACGCTGCTACCATCAACATGGCCACTTCTATGTGGGCTTCACAGCCATTGGCATTCCCCACCGCGAACACAACCGCCGTGCCAAACTCAAACAACTTCAGAACAACATCCCCATCTCTGCAGAACTCTCCCTACGCTATTGGCACTCACACAACAACATCCACCACTACACCACCATCCAACTTACATCCCACGACACATACGACCAAGCCTGGATCCAAGAACACCACTACATCGCAAATTGGATGCCTACACTCAACTGGCCCTTTATCTCCCACCACCTCAAGCTCAAAGCTCAAGGCTGGCAGTTCACCAAACACAGAGCCCATTTCTACTCCAGATTAGCAACCCACAAACGACTCTTTCGACGCCTGCGGCAACGCCAGTACACACTCAGAGAACCACACCTTTACACCTCCACTAAGCATCACGCCCTCCAACTTCTCCGCAACCTTACCAAACACACAGCAGCCTCCTTTGAAGCAGCCAAAGAGCTACGAAGCGGCCGTCACACGGACCATGAAGTCTATGCCATCCGGCGTATGGCCGCCAACCTTGAGGAACCCGGCCGCAGCAGAGCTCTTCACATCATCAACAAAGCCCTCCTCTACCGCAACCTCACGCCGCCAAAACCAAATATTCCACTTACAGTGCCATTTCTGGCCCACGACGATTTCACCAAACACTGCCAACAATGGCTCCGTACTACCATTCAGCAGCACAAGCACTTGACCATTCCCCTTCACCTCCCCTCCCACCGACTGCGCGAAGCCGCACACAAAACACTACGTTCCCACCTACACAACCACCGCGCATGGGAAGACGCCCTCCATTCCCCGCCAGATCCCGCAGACCTCCCCTGCGCATGTGGCCATCTTCGTACTCTCCTGCAGGATCCTGACACACCCACCATCAACGGCCACTACATTCTTACACTTGATCAACTCCAACTCCCTACACATCTTGGCATCTTTCTCAACGCCAACATGAACAGCGCCTACTACCCAAGCAAGGCCCGATACTTCCTCACGTTCCGGACGGCCTACACGAAATGGCTCAAGCTACAAGGGCTCCCACCATCCCTCGTCCAACACTTGCAGCCATTCCTCGAGCACCAGTGGCGCCTCCACAACATGCACCTCAAGCAGCAACCCCGGTTTACGGCTCGCCTGCTTCGCCAACTCCAAGAATACCTCGGCCAACACACAGTGCTTCACCATGCCGACCATGAACTACAACAACTCCGGCTGTTCTGCCCTCGCCAGTATTTCACTGGTGCTTTGAATACATGGCAATCCCCCGAACTTTTCGAACCACTTCCCCACCTCACTGCCGCCAACATCCACGACCACCTGGCAGCCACTGTTCCCCCCATTTTGCGCACCCGCTACAAATGGGGCTTCCGCAAAGATTTCAACATTCCCTACGGCGTCGTCCACCTCAAAGAAAAGAAGCAATGGCAGAAAGGCCGCACCATTATCTCATACTTCCAATCACTCAGTGGCAACCTACTCCGCATCACCAGCCGTGCCCTTGACATTATTCTTCAACACCTTTACCCCCAACATCCCGGCCAAATGTCCATTCCCCAACTTTGGCGCCATTTCCACAGCTACCTCACCCAAACCCCACCAGACATCTCATTGCACGCCACCAACGACGACCTGGTCGGATTCTTTAACTCGGTCCCACACCGACTCATCGATGCAGTTCACTCTCTCATTCAACACTGGCAAC